AATAATAAGTAAGTGCTTATGCGCTTGTAATCCAACTTGTAAATTCTTGTTGAATTTTTGATTCGATGTTGCCTCATCAAGATCATCTTCGTGTTTATTTGTCTGGTGAGAGAGTTCTTTTGTTAATTGTAAAATGAATTTTCTCAGTGGTGTTTTTGTATACAGCAAACGCACTAATTGTAGCAAAATCCAATATACGTACAGCCTGTTATTGAAAGGTACGTACAAAATAAAATCGGCAATTGGTCTCCAGGTATGGGTGCTAAAAGTTAAAAAAAAGTTCAGGTAAAAGTGTTCTCCTTTTGGAGATAAAAATTATTAAAATTTATGTCCAAATTCGTTGTACGCCTCTGATAAAAAGATCATCTTTCGTTTCTATAGCAACATTTAGTCTTGACAAAAGTTTTATTGTTACAGTTGCTAGGATTTACTAAAAAAAATTAATTTTACCTATTTATCCTTCAGTAGCGTCTAAAAAGATTGGATAAGGGTTAATTTTCCCCTTAAAATTTTAATAAGACAACATAAGTTTTTCCGACTTCTTAGACTTCGCGAAGAACTGTCCATTTTGTTGTACGTACCTTTCAATAACACCCTGTATAAAAAAAAAACATGGATTGATCATCTTCTTGAAGGTGTCTACACGCTACTCTCCGGCCATTTGATACACGAGTACTATGTTAGCGCTACATTTACTGCTATTGCAATTGAAGGTTGTTTCCGACTTTTCTCTATGTACAGTTACCTGCAAAAATTGAAAGAACGACTAAATTGTTGCAAATTCAAGTGGGCTTCAGTCTTCTGACTGACATGGGTGATAATAATTTAGTTTGTCAAAATTTGTTCAAACAGCAGTATTTAACCCAGCAAAGAAGTGTAGACAAGAAGGTACCGTCACAAGAAGACCAGGACAAGGAAGACAGTCGTTCTTTCAATTTTGCCCTTGACTGTACCAGCATCAAACAATGTTTTTCATTGATGTATGACAACCTGATTTGCTCATCTTTTTTTGGAAGTGACTGTATGTACTCAGAAGAATAACATTTTTCTTAATTATGTCTTAACACAATATTAAACTGGAACCATTCTTTTTACTTTTGAAATAAACAGTTCCAAAAATTGTGGTGATAATTTTGCTAACTTCTTTGTAAATTTTTTTTCTTCCCTTTTTGGTATCGTCGCCAAGAGTTTGGCAAACAGTAGTTCCTTTTTGCGCTGAATGTCTGTTTCCATCACACACTTTTCAAACTTTAATACATGTATTTAAGTTTTCTTGTTGTACATTTTGTGTCTTAAGATATTTACAATGTGGATAGAGTGCTGGTGAAGCTTGGGGTCTTTGCACTACGTCTCCACCACTACTACTCTTTGCAACACATACCCACACAAAAGGCTGCCTTTTATGAGTGTAAATTTAGAAAATAACGGATACATAGACCCCACTTATTTGTTGGTTATAGTTCAGAAGAGATCGGGTCCTTTCGATCCTGTCTTTATAGTCCTGAAAGATCCAGGTGCCTTCAAACTTGCCTCAGTTTATAATGGTTTTACCACTGGTATCATTAGGGTGAGTTCTTTATCCGTATTCCTCAATTTGATGTTTGTTTATTCGACTTCTGCGTCGTAAACAGGTTCTAATAATTTTAGAATGACATTACAAATATACAGCCAGATTCGGACTAGTATTTCTACACAGCAACAAGGTTTTGTCAAAGGTCGGTCAACTTTCACGAATTTAGTACTCTTCGCTCAGTGTGCTCTTGATATTTTGAATAAAAGTAGTCATTTAGTCAATTTAAGGACACTTTCATGTGTCCTTAAATTTTAAGATTAAATTCATTGAAAGCGGTCCGTTTAACAATCTACCTGTTCACGTATTGAAACAAATACGGTCCTGAAAAGGTAAGGGTGGCGAGTAATCTTGATTGACAGTTTTATGCTGGGTGCAGTTTCGAAGTGGTCGGAAATTTTACAGGTGCAATTCCCATAATTGGAGTCATTTGCAAATATCTTTCGTCGTACAATATCAGGGATATATTTTTCATATACAGCGGAATTTTTGCTGTCACATCAATGCAACAAAAGTTTTAGATATAAAATAAATGATTTTATTAGCTTTAGCAATACAAAAACACGAGTTATGCTCTGATGACGATAAAGTGGATGTAACCAATATTCCTAGATATTAGGTACTGAAAAAATATCTAAGATGCAATGGATGCAATGCTATGGCATTTTAAGATTTCTAAAGTATCTATGTCTAGAATTATTGTTTCCAATATTAATAGTTTGCACTTAGTAGTATTAAGAAAAAGTGACCAATCTTCACACCATTGTACGATTGTAGCCCTTTTTATTTTTTTATGGTTAGTAGAAATATGCCAAAATTTTTAAGCCATATGAATAAAATGCACGAGAAGATGTTAAAAGACCGCTAAGATCGACAGCATAAGTAACAAAAAGAAAAGGGCCTAAAACTGAGTCCTGCGGAACGCCACTTAAAACAACTTAAAAAATACGATCGATAAAAAAAAATCACTCCTCGGTAGAATAGGTCTTCTACTACCAAATTGTTATGTACACATTTTGATTTAGACCATGTTAAGGAAAATTACAGTCAAATATTACGACTCCAATTCCCAGAGAGGAAATCTGATATGTTTAAATACATAAGTATTTGCATACAACAAATATTTTGCTAATATTGCTGAAAAACTCATTGACATTACAATACATATTTCTATGAATTTAAAAACTTTTTTAATTTGAAGAGCTTACCCATACGTAAATGATACATTATTTGTAAAATGACTGCCTCAAATGCTAGGGACATTCATGGATTAAGTCGTAAAATTGTGAAACAACTAAGAAACCTTATATCATTAACGAAGTTATTTAATGAATCAATAAAAACTGGTTACTTTCCTAACTGTTTAAAAGTGTCTGAAGCTATTTCTCTCTTTAGGAAGGGATGCCCAAATTACATTGAAAATTATAGATCCATTTCCATAATATTCCTTATTAGCAAAATATTTGAAAAAACCTTTAACCAATCTCAGGGTGGAATCAGACATGGAAAATTTACTACAACGGCTATACTTAGTATAATCCGGACTATAACTACCGAATCGTTTGCTAAAGGAGCATTTTTTTGTGATTTTTCGAATAATATTTTAATTGTAGGTTATGATAGGCTTTTGCAAAAGCTTGAATTGTTACATATTTTGCATTTACATCTTCTGCATCAAAATTAGTTAGATCCTTTTTGTATAATAGGCAATAGGTGATCGTTGGAAATTCAAGGAATTCCCCGCTCTTACCATTGTACCTCATGGTTCAGTTTTTGAACCTATAATGTTAATTATAGCACTGAATATTCCTAATTCACAAATGATCCTGTTTACAGATGTTACAATTTTTCTTGTTCCTCATAAGGACCTAGACAGTTCAAATTTCTCTCAATAAATTAAAATATGTGTTTTTCAAATCTTGTTTACTTTTTAAATGAAGCGAAAACCTTGCAATTTTTTTTATTGACACATTTACCATGTTCAGGAATTTTGGAGATTCCAAAGTTTTTAGGTGTTCTAATCTGTGATGCTTACATAAGTAAGCTTATATTGACCTGTGAAAAAAATATTTACCTTCTAAAAGCTTTGTTTCCATTACTTTCACTTAATATACAATCAATTTTATGTGTATTATGGTTTATTTCATTCAAAAATTACTTATGCACTTTTGTGCGATTCATTTCCGCCTTTCGCATATTAAAATTTTTAACAAGAGTTATTCGAATAAGCAAGACTGAATTTTAGTAACGATTGCAAACACGTTTTTGGAAATTTCAAAATTCTTACAATACTTAGTGCTAAAATTTTTGTTTGCTTATATGATTTATATGTATTTGACTTGTGGGGAATTACATAAAAAAACTGCCCCATGCTTAAAAACTAATGTAGACATTGAATTCCATCGTGTAGGAAGCTCTAAATTTAGTCTTAATTATTAAGATCCAACTTAAGGCATTTCTTGTCAAACATGAGCTCTATTGATTTGATGATTTTTTTAAGTTAAACCTTCAAGAACTTGTTGTACTCATAATTAGATGAATTTGAGGTGTTTAAACATGGTATCTATATGTATAAACACAAATCAACATATCACATTGTTACTATGATCTAACTTACTTTGAGATGACTGGCCGATATGAATAGGTAACTCTGCGAGTTAGTTCAAGTATTGTTCCGTTGAGATTTAGGGATTTTAGCTTTTCAACAAAACTTGACACAACATGTACGTCTGAGGACTCTGAGATAAGCTATATTTGAAACATGAGTTTAAACCCCTGACGCAGACATGGTAGAGTAATTGCTAAAATTAAAAAAAACAACCGACAACACAGTAGTATTAAATTTGAACTTTGTCATGGGGGGAAAACTTGCTTATAGGTACTTGTGAGTTTAGTGATAACAATTTTGACCTTCCTCATCACTGGAGTTTTTTTATCAACTGAATTCAACAGGTAGTGTAGCCTACCTGTAAGTGCAATTAAGGGAAGGTTGTCTCGTAGTATACAATGAAATGTTAACAACTTTTTTAACAACATTGTCTACTAAATATAGAATTATTAAATAAACTACGACGAGATCATTTACTGCAATAGATAAAATGTCTAAAGACAAGAAAAAACAGGGCTAGGAAAGGGTTAAACTGTTCCAGTAAAATTGAAATGGTGTCATTACATGAATAATTTTCCACTGCATTTGCAGCAAACTTGTTCAGAAACTACACAAAGACGCTTACAACTCCCCAGTTGCAAAGTTCTTGTTAGTTCAACACGCAAGCTCTTTCGATCAATTTGTCTAAGCTAAAAGACGAACCGTCTATTTTTTGCACTTTGATTTAGAAAAATTTAATCAAGGGGTCGACGTTTTAGGCGCTTCTACTGTCCTTTCGCAATCATGCTGAGTACCTTTTGAATAACAGAAACTATTACTTACCATTCCATCTCCTATGTTGTTGACTACACATGGTATCAGAGCAGTTGACCCTGTTTGAGATGTCACGACCGTGCTATTTTCGGTCGCAAAGTGAACTGGAGGACTCTCTACGGGAGAAAACGAAGCTCCAAGCTCATTTAGTTCATCTCCAAGGTCTGCTTCAGGATCTGAAATCAATCACAATTCAACTTGAGACCGGGGAATCGGCAGAGAATTTAGAAGAATAAACTTTGAATATTTCATCGGCTCGATTTTTTCGTCGTTAAAAATCTCACAAAGCTTCGCTAATATTTTCTGAATTTATTAAATTAAAGCTTCTTTATTCGTTAACGACCACTTTAAATTTCAACCTCCCCAATAATTAGAGAGTCCTTCGCCTAATTGAGGGTGAATTTCGGGTTGTCGGCTTTGGTTTTTGTCAAGGGTTGAAGTACAGACGTAATCAGGTGCAAGGCATGCATATTTACAATTTTGTTAGTGGTCCGATTCGTTTAAATTAAATTTATCTGGTTTGATAAGTATGTAGGAAGGTATAAACATTTATTTCAGAATGAAAGTGTTCCTGGATGTAACGACGGTCAGTAAAGTTAAATTGACTTGCAACAAACAGTTGTGATTAATAGTTGTCTTTACTACACTGTTGATGCTGACAGATGTCGGTAGTTTCAGTTTCACTGCAGATAAGTTTATTATAATACTTGACTAAATTTACTTTGTTGTTTATTGTAATTACCTGATAGAGCAACAATGTTTTAAAATACCACTTTAGTAGTTAAAAACACAACGAAATTTTTGTTTAATTTTATTGTACCAAAGTAACTATAAGATTGTTTATTTACGCTGCAAATTTCACCCTGTTAGATTTCTTTGATTATTATTGTTGATCGTGGAGTCTCTTAGTATTCTGATGAAACCCCTCACTCTGTTCTCCACTCAACATGTCCAAATTTTCCGGAAAATAATCCAGATCAGTGCACAGAAAATGTAATTTCACACACATATTAGCCTAAAATTTTAAATTTCTGCAGCCAGTTATGGGTGACAGCTACATACATGATTAATGCCCTTATTATGACCTTACAAGTTATTAATAACAGTTTCAAAAAAATTGACCGCTTGTGGTTCAGTTGCAATTATTATTCTTGATTATTTTCTGTGTGTAAGTTGCAGATGTGAAATATCGCAGTTTTTAACTTTTACTTTTCGAGTGGAAGCTAAGGAAGTATTGTAATAGGGTCCATCTGATAAATGGCTGCTTTCATGTTTTCTTGACGATTCATGACCCCTAAAGTACGAAAAAGTAGGTGCCATGTTTTCGTCTGTCAGTCGTCTGTCTGTGTCGATTTTCATTAGATAAAACATCTTTGAAACTACTGTAACAACTGTTGTCAAATTTTATATTTTATATAATTTATATAATTGATAATAAGATATTTCTACAGTTGTAGTTTATGAATCCGTGTTGAGTTTTTAACATAAAAATTCAGATTTTTGAAAAAAAAAAGTATAACATTTTGTAATGTAACTTTGAAAGTACTAAACCGAATGCTCTGAAATCTTGTAAACATTTTAACGTCATCGTAAGCATTGTAAATTGTTAATTAAAATTTATTCGTTTATCGCCTTTGAAAAAATTGAAAACGTCATCTCAAAATTTTGCCGAATAAATCCTATCTAAAATATGCAAAATATTATGAATGCGGCTTATCAACACATTAATATTTTTTAGAATTACTTATAGAGAGGCTGACTTAAAAAAAATAATGAATGAGGCAACGTCTCGCCACATGATCTCAAAAATTTGAATGCAGAATACTGTTATTATTAGTATTACAAGCAATTATTCAAATTCGTATATCGGTGTTCAGTTGAAAAAGTCATCAAGTTGGCCTTGATTTTTTGTGGAGTATATGTGTAACAAATAAAAATTGATTCGATGACAGATGACAACACGGAAATGTCAGTTATACACAACAATATGAATTATAAATCACATGCGTTTTTCACTTTCTTCTAACAAACAATCAACTCTAACTTGATGACTTTTTCAACTGAACACCCGTTACGTATATGTCCTTGTTAAAATGTTGATGACGTCATCACAAAATTTTAAAGGAAAAACTCCTTGAAATACACGCATAGCATGATTCTTTACCTGTATCTTGACAGACGACATATATTTATTTTAACTTATGGGGTTATCATAAAAAAAAACACTTCAGGGGCGAGGAAAATTCGATCTAAATAATTTTAGACCAACTTTTTAATGCAGGAGATGGAAATTTTTAGCAAATATATTTAAAACACTATACTCTCAATTCAATTCGAAGGGATAATAAACAAAATAGTTTCGGATTTACGCAAGATTTTTTGATAGATGTTGTTATCAGTACTTCATTTTATTACTATAATTTACTCTGTTTTTATTTTATTTTTTTAAATATATTTATTTTAAATTCAACACTCTATGTTTATACCTATGGTTGTGTGTTTTTAAATAATCTACTTAGAAGTAAAACAGCGGTTCTTAAAAAATGTATTATAATATTATAAATGTAAATGTTTTTATGAATTACTATTCAATTTAAAATCTCAGCATTGAACAGACTGAATAAATAAATAGTTGCTGTTTTCTACTGGTGTGTAACGCATAGTAAAAAATTGGTCGAAAGTTTTTTCATCAGAACTTCCCTCGCTCCTGCAGTACAATGAAACATATCCAGCATTTTCTCTGTCATAGTGAACTTTTCTACCTGCGATGGGTACCTGTACCTATTTAGATTAGTGCCTAATAGATTCATCCGCATTCGTGCCAGTGTGTTGACCAGTTCCCTTAAGTTTATGTTTCCGCGTGTTATTGTTTGCCATTTAAAAAAAAAAATTTAAAAACCACCCCCTTCTGAAGTGCGCATGTTACGCTACTGATTGACAGTCCGCTGTCAGGTTCTGATGACTCACCATGTTGAACTTAAAATAATCCATCGGTAACAACCCTTTCCTTCAACACTAGGTAATAGCAATTTGACGCTCAAGTATTTATGTTTATACATCGAAAGAATGTCACTGTAGAAAACAAAAAATTTTTGACGATGTCATCAACATCGATAATACTAGTCACAGCACAAAAGAAAAGTAGTCATAGCGTATTACCAGTGCAAGAAAAAACAAGGACACGTATATCAATTTGGAATGGTGCAGTGTAATCCTATAAATTACATTATTGTATTCCCAAAATTTTCTGAGAAAGTGGAGTGAGCTGTTCCTAATTTAATCAATTGAGTCATTCATTAAGTTTTGATTGATAAATCACAAGTAAAAACTCATCATATTTTGCACATTTTGGGTAGAATTTATTCGGCAAAATTTTGAGGTGACGTCATAAATTTTTTGGGGGAATAAACAGATGTTTTAATTAACAATTTACTAGGCTTACAATAACTAACACGTCTGCAATATTTCAAACTATTGATTTATTCAATAAAATAAATTGACTAATTCATTAATTTTTTTGTCACCCTGTATAAGCAAATCTAAAAAATATGAATGCAATGATAAATTACAAGTATAGACTGATTATATTTTGCAATTTTAGATAGGATTTATTCGGTAAAATTTTGAGACGACCTTATCAATTTTTTGGGGCTGATAAATAGTTACATTTTGATTAAAACGTTACCATGCTTACAATAACTTCAAAACGTCTACAAGATGTTAAAGTATTCAGTTTTGCAAGTCTTGATTTAATCAATAAAATATATTGACAGTCATTAATTTATTTTGCACATTTAAGATCAATTTTTTAAGGGGGATGAGCAAATACATTTTGACCAAAAATTTACCCTGGTTATGATAACTTTAAAATATCTTCAAGATTTCAAAGCATTCGGTTTTGCAGATTCCAAATTAAATTGCAAAGGGTTGTTTTATAATTTTGATTTTTTTTCCAAAAATCTGGACGTTTCGGGTAAGAACTCAATTCAGAGTCATAAACTAGATGTGTAGGGCTATGTTATTTTATATACTTTAAAATCCATTTTGCATGTACAATTTAGAAGTAACGTCATCACATTATTGGTGGGGACGATTAGACAGATTTTGTATAGCGTTTTACCATTTACATGATATTCCTAATATAAATACAAAATTTGACAACAATCGGCCCAGTACTTTCGGAGAGTATTTGTCTAATAAAAATCCAGGACGCCAGACAAACAGACGCACAGACGCACAGACCGACAGACGGACAGACAGACGGAAACGGGAAACTTATAGTAGAGGGTCGGCCGACGGACTCGATTACGCTCGGGAAGTAAAAATGGTCAAAGTTATTTGAATTGAACATATTTTTTAAACGAACGTCCTGTTTTATGAGGATAAACATTATAATTTGGATTCGTATCATGTAATACTAATAACAAATATATACTCGTATACTTATGATTTGAGCTAAATTTGATGAGCCGTTTTTGAAATATGAACAAAATAAATCAATTTTTTAGTCGTCTTGTGTCTTACTTCTTTTGTCTAGCAAAATAAATACTAATTGCATATGAGGGAGTATTTTTCGGTGAAAATTTATTTAATAATTTTTGAAAATAATTTAACTAACTTTGTGGCGTAGATAAAAATCATGTAAGAAGGATGCAAGACTGAAACACTAACGAGTCGATGGTACTATAAATTTCTCGTTGTAGCGTGCTCACTTATTTCATTGGCGTAGCAAGAAATATAGAAATATAGATTGCCTTTAAAAAATGGAAAAAAATCCAAAATTGAAATAAACTGCAGTAAAAATGTAAGATCCATTTGCAAGCAGTTTTCAGAGAATTCTCTTAGTGACCAACATCTTAAAATGTTTATATTTATTATGAAAAATTTTATTCTAATAAGTTAAGGATGGCATTCTTTAAACATGAAGAAATAATACCAAACATTTTGATTAAACTTGGAAATCATCCAAGTGGAGATTAAAACGAGCAACAATTTACATGTGTTCTTATGTAATATCTACCTGTTTTTTTTTTATTCATGGGTTTAGTAAATTCTAATAAATTTTATTTTTAAGGTGTTTTGCACACGCCAAGTTTTAACATTTTTTTATCAAAATATATTTATGAATAATGTATAGGTATCCAGTTTAAAATTAATGAATAAATTAATTTAATAT